AGATGAGACGAGCGCTTTTCAGATTAAGACCCTGATCAAATTTTCATAACTCAATTTCAGGCAGAGAGGGGTTAGCTGTGGGAGGAGCGGGCAGGGTGGGGGTGGGAGTGGGGAGGTGTTGGGGCGGTGGAGAAAGACATGTAAAAGTGTATGTGTTGACTGTAATCAGTTTTCTTTGTCTGCCATCCATTTCACTTAGAGCAAGAGCGTGTTGTTGAAGATAGTGTTCGTCTCGGCTGTGGCTTTCAAATAGTCGTGCCAGTTTATCAAAGCTGATAATGTTGTATAGTTGTGGTATTAAAGTTGCTAACAAGTGCTGCTTTTGTGATCATTTATTCATTGATTTATTTATTCACAAACCTGGCCTGACTTCAATAGCAAAAAAAAATGATTAGCACACGGCCTACTCACTGGAAAAGTTTCTTACGTGACCTACGCAACCACTCAAATGAGAAACTCTGGCATTAAATAAATAACTTTATTGATTATTGAATAAATGAAGGAAAATTCTGTTTCACTGCAGATTTTATGGTTGTGTTTTTTGGGGTTTTTTTGGCTTTGTTTTGAAATGCTCACAAACTTTTTTGACAGGTAGTTGAAGAGAGAGTCTACAATATTTAGATGTTACAAAAAGCTCAAGACGTCCGTGCCACATTGTCTATTTCTAACGGGGACATACCATAATGAGCCACAAGCGGTTTCAACCTGACATACTATATACCTACTATACGGTCACACCATATTGATTGATTCACTGTATAAAACCTCTTAACATGCTTTTGTGTTTTATGTGTGTTCTAATGTGCATTTACAGACAAATCCAAAGAGATTTATAGGTGTATTTGTCACTGCTTGCTTGTCATGTACTGTAACTCATGTACACTGCCTCTTTCCTGCTGTAGCGATATTACAGTGAGCCCAGTATCACCCTCCCTCCCCCACCCTCCCCTCTCTGTTATGTCCCTCCCTTATCTGTCTCTTCTCTATTCCTTTCGCTCATCCTCTCTATCTGTCTCTCCCTTGTTTCAATCTTTTCCCCTCTCTTTCTGCTCCGTCTCAAATGCTTCACGTTGTATCTGTCTTTGTATCTGTCACCTCTCTTTCTCTCTCTTTCTTCCCTCGCCCCCCCCACCCCCCCGTGTCCCTCCCCTCTCCCAGACAGTTGACTGGTATGGCGACACCAGACTGCGTGTATTTTTAGCGCTACCACAGATGGGGCCATGGCAGCATGTCAGAGACCAGAATGTTCTTTATCTCAGCTGTCAGGCCGTTCCCCGGGACCAAAATGGATGCCGTCCACTCGGGGGAGGGAGGTGAGGGGGTGGAGGGGGTGGGGGGGTGGTGCTTTTTCTCCCACTCTTCAAATAAAGGTTTTTAATTGTGTCATTTGGCGCTGCTAAATAACTGTTGCAAGGTGCAAATTGATGGTGGCGAAAAGTAAATGCTCCCTCTTGCTGCGTCAGCTGCTCTGTGGCAGCTGTATCCAAACCTGTGATCAAGTGGAGGTGAAATTGCAGGCCACGCTTCTGCAGACAAAAAAGGATATATCACGAAAGCAAGCTCAGATATTGTTATATATCAGCAGCTTACGTACATTTTTCTAGCATTCCACATTTTGTTGCGACTGTATGTGGTGAAATAACACATTTGTCCAACGCTGCGAGCAGGACACCAGTGAATTTCAGCGAGGGCCAGAAAGCAGGTCTGTGCATCTCTACATTCAAGATACCCCTTAGTAAAACACCGAGTGTATACAGCTGGGGAGTAAGCATTTCACTCACAACCTCCAAACACAATGCTGGGACAGCAGAGACCAGAAAGCAGGCCTTTTCTGACTCCGAAGAGTTTTTCTCCTTTCTTTTTTTTTGCAGATGGAGAAGGAGAATGTGCTGCAGGCTATGACTGGGGGTCAAGTGGTCGGCTTTGTGCATCACAGTTTGGAGTCTGCTGAGACTCTCCTCTGGCAGCGTTCACACACTCTAACAGCAGGCTGCTTGTCCATGTGAATATCAAGGAGGGGTGGGAGACAGAGAGAGGAGGCACGCTGACAGAGGAGGGAGAGGGAGCGAGAGGGAGAGGTGTGGTTCGGTTTGTCAGGCTGTCGGATTGTGTTCAGGTGAGCTGGATCTATTTGGCGGGGTCCCTGCTTTCTCTGTATCTCATTAATAAACAAATGGCATGTACTCCTTGGCACTAACCCCAAGCCTATTGGTTAATAAGTCTTAAATATTTAAAAAGGGCTCACAAATATATATATTTTTTAAGACTTTAAGAAAACACATGGGCACTCTAGTTTTTAGCAATTGTTACTTAAGCAGGAGTAAATGGTGCATTTGTTGGGTACTACTGTATTTTCAGTCGTGGATCGATACACATTTGCTGCACTAGTGACTATAGTGACTATTTACAGCAGCAGGACAATTACATGTCCCCTTCACTACGCTAAGATATTGAAGCATGGTAAGAAAGCATTGTTATTGTCCCACTATGTTAGTATTTAGCTGAAAGCATCACTGTGCCTGAATATAGCCTCAAAGAGCTGCGAGCATGGCTGTACATCAGTTTTTAAGAGCACTTGGACAACATAGAAATAAGATATATCCGGCTTTGGTAATATAGAAGCAATTTGTGGTTGAGTTTGGTCTTTTCATGCATTTCAAAAAACAGAACAGAATATCAGCAGCCTTGTCTTTTTAAGTCACATTCACAACAAGCTTGTAAGAATTCTAATAAAGAAAAAAACAAAACAAAGTGAAAATGCATAATTTCACCACAGGGATCGGTGAGATGTGGCCTCAGCTTGGTTGTTGTCCTGTGCTAGAAACAAATGATGATCAATATCACTCCTAATTAATATTTTTTCTCCACAAAGCTGGTTTTCCCACAGGCGCAGCGGGAGGGAGACTCGGCTCGATAATGTGTCGTTCAACGAGGGCCTCTAATCAAGCCCGAAGGTCTCCTTCTGAATTTTGTCACATTCTGAGCTTCATTTCCATTCCCCGTCCCTCAAGGCAAGGTAAAACAGTCCCGAGGTATATGAAAAGGCTCCATACTTTGAACTGCATGAGTAGCCTTCACCTGCAGTCTGGTCAATTGAAATGGAAATTACGGGCAGTCATGTTCTTCTCACTGAAGGGGAAATTATGGGACACACACACACACGCACACACACGACAAAAAGCAGCGAGGTAAACAAAAACAAAGGAGTGACAGTGATGATTGTAGCAAACCTGGTGCCTTGACCAGTGTAACTGTCAGCTTCATTTGCAGTTTGCAAGACAAGGTTAGACAAGTCATCAAAATGGGAGCCATAAAAATGCTACTCATAAGCATCTCAAAAGTTTGTTGCAGAAAAGTCAAGAAAAAGAAGTCCACAGTTCAAGGCTTGGCAAACTTGGATTTAATCTTTAAGGCATCAGCAGTAAGCAAAAGCAGTACTATGAAAAAACATTTAGATCGACCGGAAAATGTGTAGAGATTTAGATGATTAATGTTGCCTCTCAAGATTTCATCTTTTGACTCACAAAGGATCGTCTGTGTAAAAACATGCCTGTGGGAATGAATTGAAGTGAGAGTAACATATCTGGTCCATATTGTAGATTAATTAGGACTCAGTTTTGATGATTTATAGTAAGTCTGGAGAAGAAAGTCATCTAAAGCCACAGAGAACCAGGATGAAACATGGGAACAAGGCGAAGGGGAAGCGATTGAGGCGTATTAACAAAGAGAGAGCGGTAATTAAAGCCCTTCAGAGGACATATTCAATTGCACGCTTTTTGAATGTGCAATGTCTTCTTGCCACAACAATGTACTCTTTCTCTCAACTGTGCCGCGCATAGGGCACAACATTCAAAGGGGAGATTACAGGCCTGGTGCAGCTTCTGTCTTTGCAATAAGTGAGAATGTGGAACACCAGCAGTGAGACTAAGCAGAGTGCCAATCAATACCAGCCCCGTGTTCTCTGTGACTACAGTAATTATCATCACCATGCACGGGAATGGCGTGTTGTTTGGGCGTTGCAGAAGGTCGGGAGCAGATTGGCGACACATGACGTTTCCATGGCAGCCGTGCGAGTAAACTGTGCTCCACCCAGTGATCATGAATTTAGGCTCGTCTGACTGTTTTGGAAGTCAATAGCATCATCAGTATGGAGTCGTCATCGGAGAATTGCTGGAAATGTCAAAGATTAGCACTGGTGCGTTCACTGATGGTGGTGACTAAGACTGTGCAATTACCTGAAAGTGCTGGAAACATTCGTGTTGATGGAGTAATGTCTGAGATTAGACACCTGTGGGACAAAATCATTCAGGGCCTTGAGGGGGAACGTTATGCACTGAAGCGAGTTATTGCTACAAATCTGTGTGTATACAAAACCTCCACATCAAGCAGTCCTTCACGAGAGCCAGTATACTTACGGGAAGAAATCAACACTTGACTTCTTTTACAGTCAGAAGCCCAGTGATTTCATCTTTGATTTGGTGAATACAGTCACAACCTTTGATCAAAGCAATCTTTTTTCAAATCTTTCTATGACTGTAATCATTTCACTTGTCTATAAGGAACAAGGACTGTAGGTAGGCCTGTTTATGCTTTTCCTCCATGGCTTTCCACAAAGTAAATATAGTTTAGGCTATATTTATAGGCTCTGGCATGTAAGTTACTTTGCATAATAAAGATTTACATTCAAAATATACAATAACCTGATGAAATACGATGTATTATGAGAGTTATCAGACCATTTCAATTTATCAGTGTTAAGCTCTGATAGATAGATTAAAATATATATATAATGTACACACTCTCTAATTATTAGTATATTAATATGAATTATTACTATTATTGTTATTGAAATTGTTTGCTTTATTCATTTATTTTATCTAAAATAAATTAAATTAAATTAAATACAGTATATGTTTTGCCCTCGTTTAAAATAAATTGTTTTTTGTGACTTGTAGTAATCCTTCCGCCGCAGCAGGTGGCAGTATAGTGCCAACTAATGCTAAAATCTCGTTAGGATAATGTAAAGACGAAGAAGATTAAACAACAACCGTGCATCACTTGCGGAGGTACCTGTACATGTTTGAATTGTGAATTTAACCCAATTATTGCCTGTGCATCAATGTGACATATTTCGAGGTTTCAGCGTATTATATTACACCTTTAAGACACAATTTACACGCCAGAGCGTTAGCCGTTAGCTTTAGCGGAGTAGCTAAGCTAAGTAGAAGCTGCAGTTAGCTAAGCTGGGACTGGTTTGTGTGGGTGTGTAGCCCTGCTAGCTGCGTCATTTGGCTGTATATTCAGTGTTATTAGATCCATAGCTCATTAGTTTTAGCCTGACTTCTATTCCACTCGCCTCCTCTGTCTCCTGCGCCTCATATTGACTCATCTCTCTCCTGATCCGTTTTTGTTTTATCTGAGACAGATATAAAGCAGAGCAGCATTAACAAGGCTGCGGAAATGGACACAAGAGCCTTGAAGAACCCATACCCCGACTATGATGGGAGCCCTGCGTCCACACAGGCGTTTTTTGACTACCAGGGACAGGTAACACATGAGGAACTGCGTAGACAAGTGAAGTGTGTGTGTGTATGTGTGTGTGTGTGTGTGTGTATATATATATATATATATATATTTCATGCCATCCTCATTATTTTAATTTTTCTTTACCTTCAGCTCACATCAGAGTTTGCCCAGAGGCTGAGCAGCAAGGTCAGTGAGCTTTTAGCTGTCATGGAAAATGGGCTGAAGTCTGCAGATCCAAGAGATTGCACTAGTTACACTGGCTGGGCAGGTGATGACACCATTACACATCTGTTTTTCATAAATGACATCATTTGGTCTGTTAGCAAGGAATTGCATTAATGTGACTATATGAAAACATAATGTCAAGAATTAAGGCTGCACATGTGATTGTTATGCTCAATGCAGCCGGTGTTTTTCTGTATGTGTGAAAACATAATTCAGCAAGGCATCTGCAGTATATGAGAATTGTATATGAGATATTTGATTTAGGGATGCAACTTATGATAATTGCCATTGTTGATTAATCCCCATTACATTTTCCTAGACCCAAAATAAACGTACTCACATTTCGTGTTTTGAGCAATCAATTGTCCAAAACTCGAATATCCAGTCATTTTTTGTTCACATATTTAGTTTACCAACACAGAAGATGAATAAATATGAATAAAATATTCACATTTTGACCGTGTTTCAGTGTTGTTTTGTAGATTACCAAATGTGCAGCTTTACTTCAGTTATGATGTAACATAAGAAACATTTCTGATTTAGCTTCCAAAGTTTACATCATTAACAAGTGCCTGTCTGTTTTTTTCTGCAGGCATTGCTCTGCTCTACCTGCACCTCTACAATGTGTTCAAGGAGGGCTGCTTCCTTCAGAGAGCACTGGAGTATGTCAGCCGCAGCCTCAAGTGTCTGACCCGACGCCATGACGTCACCTTCCTATGCGGGGATGCAGGGCCGCTGGCTGTGGCTGCTGTGGTCTACCATCGCCTGCAGATTGGCCAAGAGGCCGATGAGTGCATCAACAGGTCATTTTAGAATAAGTGCAGTAGTTAAGGCCAATGTATGTATTTGCTAGGGTAAGATAAGATATCTTCTGATTCTTTATTTTAAATTAAAGTGGACTGGAGACTCCAAATAGAGCTTTCTGACAAGAAATATAAGATCTTAGAGGTCGTGCTGCAATTATGCAAATTATGTATTGGTGATGTGTAATCATGTTGCAAAGGCATTCATTCCCAGTGTTTTTTTTACTGTTGCAGTTGACACAACCAACTGATTCAGTTTATTTAACTGATCACATTTATTATACGGTTAATTGTACACGGATGTTCTGTAGGTCATCTCGAATAGAACGTTTATTTTAAGATTTGGTTCATTAGTGCAACAGTCGATCACGACAAAAAGCTCATTCTGACTCATGATTTTTGCGTTTGCTGCTCTTCCTTCCCAGACTGCTGCAGTATCATGAGAACGTGGTGAAGGGAGCGGGCGGGCTGCCAGATGAGCTGCTGTACGGGCGAATGGGCTACCTCTACTCCCTCGTCTTTATCAACCAGCAGCTTGGGCACGACAGAATCCCACTGCAGTACATCCAGCAGGTGGGACGACAGTCTGAGACGAATGTTTGTGTCCTCCTAATGGTCTGGATTTTTATTACAGAAGGAGTTTTGCTCAGCCCGTACTCTCTTTTGCACTACATATAACTACAGTGCCCATAGAGTCATTTGTGACCATAGAAAAAGTGGAAAGTGTATTGACTGAATAAGAAAAAAATAGAGGAAATAATGTGGAGTAAACATAAAAAATATTAGGTTGAGACCCTCTGGTTATAAGCCCCTGGTTTTCCCTTTGGCCCTAATTTGCACGGCCTTACACATATTGATGTCCAATTGCTCTAATTTTCCCTCCATTGATTCCTTTCAATTGGACAGATTAGGCGTGTCTCTGAGCTGGGATGTGCTGTTTCCTTCCTCAGGTCAGCGAGGCCGTGTTGGTGTCAGGCGAGCACCTCAGCAGGAAGTTCAGGGTCCAGAACCAGAGCCCTCTGATGTACGAATGGTACCAGGAGCAGTACGTTGGCGCCGCCCACGGACTGGCAGGCATCTACTACTATCTCATGCAGGTAAAACAGATCAGTCTCTGATCAGTCTTGCTCTTTCAGCGCACCATATTAGAAAGCTTCGGGAGCTATTTCATACAACAACATTGCTTGTAAGGAGCTTAATTTTGCCTTTGCTAATCTAGCAATTATTTTTCAAATGAATTGATTAATTATTGACAAGTAACATCAGGAAATACTCAAAAAAAATAGTCCAAAACAAGTTCCAAGAACCCAAGACGACATTTTAAAATAGTTTATTTATATCTTTGATAAAGCACTTAAACAATTCATTGATTACTAAAATCATTATTGGTAAACAACTAATTGACTAAAGAACTAATTGTCTGAGCAATAAAGTCAGCCTAGTGTGATAAAAGCCACCTGTTACTTCCACCTGTTTCGTCCACATGCTCTGTTAAACACAGTCTGATCTCTCCCTCACAGCCAGGCTTCGTTGCTGTCGAGGAGTATGTGCACAGGCTGGTGAAGCCCAGCGTCGACTATGTCTGCCGGCTCAAGTTCCCCTCAGGAAACTACCCTCCCTGCATCGGGGATGACCGGGACCTGCTGGTGCACTGGTGCCACGGATCGCCGGGGGTGATCTACATGCTCCTGCAGGCATACAAGGTGAATACTTAGTTAATGCTGCAGTTGTTTTTCACAGAGTAACAGCTAACAAAATAGGATTCATGGATATTTCCAGTGTTACAGGGAATGCAAAGTGTTAACTGACAGAGTCATAGTGCCATCTTGTGGTGAACTTCAGTAAATATCTGTTTTAATCCCAGCTGAACTAGTGGAAAACATTGTCTCATCCAAACAGTATATTGTCCGATGTGTCCCAGCTTATCTTGTTTTGCCAGTGTTACCATCAGGATGTACAAAAACATCAATCCCTACATTTTAATTTCACTTCTTCTCATCTACTTCATCTCTTGTTCCAGGCCTTTGGTGTTGCTGAGTACCTGGGCTACGCCTTGCAGTGTGGAGAGGTGGTGTGGCGGTGGGGTTTGCTGAAGAAGGGCTATGGGCTGTGTCACGGCGCAGCAGGTAACGCCTATGCCTTCCTGGCTCTCTACCGCCTAACGCAGGACCCCAAGCACCTCTACAGAGCCTGCATGGTGAGAGCACATGAAAGAGACTTTATAATAGAATCTATATACAACGTTCACACAGTGCAGTAGCTGTTTGAGTGATCAAACGATTGCAGATTTTAATTGTGGCGCTCCAGCAGTGCATCCATCTTAATTAGAGCCCAAATACTTGATCCATGACAACAAGTCAAACTGAAGTTGATGGAGAGGCAGAAATGAATACCTTTGTTTAGGCTTTATTTATCTGTGGAAGTCCAGCGAGCATCTGTATGCACAATACGGAAGGTATGTCTTTGTATGCACGTCTGGTATTAGTACTCAGCCAGGAAATAACAGCATTTAATCCCAAACAAAAACATTTTAGGAGGAAGGATTTAAAAGCAGATAAACAAAGTAAAGCCTCTTAATGAAAACCTTATATAAGAAAATCAATGAAAAAATAGAAATGTGTTATAAAAGTTCATGTATTTCACATTGACCTTCAAAATTCCTCTACTGGCCGAGGGATGTAACTGCTTCTTTACGCTTTAAGCGAAAAATTTAAAAGTTAATATGCACAGTTCTAACACACTGTGTTTCTATAAGTTTATAAGTGTATAATGCAACCATAACAAACAGAAGAGGTCAATTTATTTGTCTTTAAATATATGCTTTATATTGTGTTCGTCCTTGCCTTTAAGACGTGAAAGTCGTCTTAAAGTTTGTTCAAAGCACAACCGGTTAAAGCACAGCTTTGGCAGCCGGCCAGCCTTAAAATCGAAAATTATTCCAGAAACGCCAGGCATGAGAGAAGCGGGGCCTTTTATGTTTATTGACAATGGGTCGGTAGCTGTCGGTGCCAGTCGGCGTCAAAGCGGGGCCTAGGCGAGACGGCACCGGGCTCTCTTTGGATGCGCTCCAGGTGGCACGGGTCCCACGTGTACTTTCATTAATATGAATCTATTCATAGAGGATGGAAATAGACTCTTCAGATGTCTCGCCTCGGCTCTGCTACATGCTCCCGATGCAGCAGAGTGACATAGTGGTCATAATCTGATACCGCGACAGACGCTCGGATTTCACTGAGAGGAGCACAATTTCTAGCGGTTGTTGACATTGCTGGCTATTCTCCTGAGATGGTTCAGCTACAGTGCTCTGTTGTGACACAATAGGAATGTTATTATGACACTGACTCTCTCTCTCTCTCTCTCTCCAGTTTGCAGACTGGTGTATGAACTACGGCAAACATAGATGCCGAACACCAGACACTCCCTTCTCACTTTTTGAAGGTAATATGTGATGATGTGTCCTACTTGCCAAAAATAACTTATTATCATATTGCTTGGCTCGTTACAAGAGAAATGATCACAGAATAGAGCCGACTGGCTATAATTGTTCATCAAGTTATGTGTTCCCACTCAGTGTGACTGTCAGTGTTAGGGAGGGTGCACTCGTGGCCGCTGTTTCTTTTGCCAGTGCAGTTTGCGTTTGTGTGTTGGCACACTGTATGTTGTCATTACTAGGGGGTTGGTTCCAGTATCCCATTTCATTTTGGAATTCATTAAGCTCCAACACCAACAATGCTCTTATGAAAGCATTTATCTCTCCTTACTCTTCTTTCCATAATCATAGAGCAAAGGAAAACTCCAGCCAACTGTGATATTTGAGACTTTAATCATTGCCAAATGCAGTTTGTGTTACTGCATCAGCACACACTTAGATATGGCAGGTAGAATGGTGAGTTTGTTATAGGGGGATCTGCTAGGGAAAACAGATTATATGAAACGCTGTAGCCCTACAAGAATGGTGCAATAGTTGTGCATTGGAATTTAATAAAGGCAAAACCTAACCTAACTAGAAATTGGTAATTATCAGCAATTTCAAACACCAATGATCACATATGTATTAATAGATTTTTCAACCTGTTGAAGTTGATAATGTTGAATATTTAAGTTCATATTGAGAAAGTAAAATTATCACATTTTTTTTTAAAATGTAAATGTAAAATATGTGTAAATAATATGTACGTTTACCCAGGTGGAACCAGTACTTGAGACAGTTTTCAGTAGGCCATCTTTACTGTTCTTGTGTCCACCACTGCAGCTGTCAACTCACTGTGTCACTTCCTATTCGCAGGCATGGCGGGCACCATCTATTTCCTGGCCGACCTTCTGCAGCCGATGAAAGCGCGGTTCCCAGCGTTTGAGGTGTAGACAAGTTTCTCCACAGGTAGCCCCCCCACCCGCACCCACCCACCACCCCACCCCCCCCAGCCACACCACAAAAAAAACATGTTAAAAAGAAGATCCACACTTAACACTCCTGCATGGAAACACTGCAATTATCTCGATAAGTAATATTCCGAGACTTGACAGGTTATACAGAAACTTGGTGGCTGGCTTTGACCCCTGCTTTAGACATTGTGCCATGTTTTTTCCCGCTCTTCTCAACGGCGCGCCTGATAACAGGATATATCCTGAACTCATGATTTCCTCAAAGATATGTGAAAGCCGAGAGCCTCTCTCGCTGTTTTTGGTTTCTGTATGTGTATAAATCAAACTCCTGTTTTATGATATCTAGCTGTTACTCATATTGCGACGTTGTTTAGGTTTTCAGCAAAAAAGGAAAGAAGCTAATTTTCAATTTCGATTTAAATTGTGAGCTAATAAGTGAATGATGTTTTGTTAACACTTAAAAACTCTGTATGTTTATGATAAAAAAGGAAATGTATTCTTTAGCTTGATATTCTGTTTTCTTTTTCTGAGAAACACACAGCACAGCTACAGTAGTTACAATGCACTAAATATAATACAGCTGTGTCATGTGTTTAGGGCTTAACCCCTCAACACTGAGTGTAAGCTGTTGCCTGTCCTTTGCACTGTCTGGGCAATAAACCATGTATCTTTTTACAGCTGTTGCCCTGTGGTGAATTTCAGTACCTTGGCGTCGTTACGCAGCGGCAAAGAAAAGCCACAAAGGGGCAGCAGAGAGCCGACGACTCGTAAATAAATATCCGACACCCGACCGTCACCTGGCAAATGAAGTACATTCATAGGCAGTGAATGACACTCCCTTGTGAGATATTGTCCTTGAAAAAGTCTCTTTGACGTCTCTCTCATTGTTACACTTAGTTTTAAGGCCTTTATCTGGCAAAGGAAGCCGCATGTGGCAGCGATAGATGTCTAAAATGTTCTGTCCCTTCCTCCTTGAGACACTTGGCTCAACTCGCCCGGTGTCTATTCCAAATAAGGCTCATGTAACACTCTGAAAACCAAGCAGCGACACAATGCCACCGCTCTTTTTTTAAGCCCCCCCTGCCCATGCTTCTTTATGACCTGAGGCCAGCTGGGGTCTTGAGAGGGTCGGGAGGTGGTTTCTGTACCAGAATGTCTTGAAGAGCGAGAGCGTACATTTTCTCCACCCCCTTCCAACCCCCCCCTAGCTCTGCAGAGCCAGCCTCAGCGTAGGAGAAACCAAACACCTTCAGCAGAAATGGGAGTAAAAATAGTGCTCATCTGTGCAGGGGTGTGGTCTCCCAGACATGTCTCTCACTCCGATTCACTTACTCCTACAAATGTCCCCCAACTCTTTCTTCTGACGTTCAGCAGTAGAACATTATATATTACAAGGCTGATGATAAGTTAGACATACTGCAGTCTGGCAGCATGAACACACCAGCTACCCACACTGTTAGTGAACTATCTAATCCTGTACACGTTGTGTGTGTGTGTGTGTGTGCGTGTGTGCGTGTCTATGTGGACTTGCCCTTCCTCTAAGACATGTCTTTCTGTCTTTTTATGACAAACTTTGAAAGAGAAAAAGTATTTAGTTCCAAAACTGTGTGCTCACAATTTGACACATTAGAGTTAAGAGTATTTATAAAGCCACAAAAAGATGTTCTAGGAAAATAAACACTTGCATTTCTGACATAGTGACTGATGATCTTCGGGCAGCCAAAAGGTGTTTGGTTCATCAAAGCCCTTGGGCATTGACTGTACAGTGAGCAGATTACACGAGTAAAACAATACACAGAGTCAACGCTGAAGTTCAACTACTCAGATTCCCTGTGGTCACGGAAATCCTGAAGCAATTATAGAATCACATAAGTGTTTCCCACCTCCGGATATCAAAGAGTCCTGCTCACTGAATATTTCAGAAGTGCCAAGTGTTTTGTCAGTGTTCATGACCTTAGAACCACCTCATATTCATATGAAGACGCATTTATCTGATATTAATCCCAGCTGATAGGTAAATCCACTTCACCTGGGTCAAAGACAAAACTATTATTAATAGACTGTGATTGAAAATGCATGAACGTCCTTGAGTAAAAATATGCAGCAATTTTCCAAGTCAGTAATTATTGCTCTTTGTCTATGTGAGAATAATAGTAATGGTCTGATATTGTTATTCTATTAATTCAGTCAGTCAGTGTCCATATTTTAATGAGCTTATTAATAAAAGATGTGTGTGTGGGACCTGCAGAGCGAGATATTCGGGATGCAGACTGCATCTCACACATAGTGCAGTAGAAATGCATGGCAGTCTATGCACAAGATTAAAAGATATGCAGTGTTAACACTGTAAAGTACGACAAGAAAAAAACGGATACTTGCGTTCGGAAAAGAAAGTCGAGCATGAATTTAACCTAATTCAGATGGAAAATACAATATAATATTTCCCGTCATAACAAATATTTCAAAACAACAAAGTAGTTTTCCTTAAAGAAGATAGATGGAACCCAGTCATTCAAGTGTTTAATACCAATAATCACAGTTCAGTTTTAATAATTTAATCCACTCTTCAATCGATACTATTGATTTGATGAAACAATGCCAACTCTCCACTTATAGTACTTGCTTTTTCTGGAGCTTGCAATAGAAAGCTCTAGAAAAGGGGCTCAGTGGAGCAGGATATATAAACACCATAAGTTCTACAGTACCTACAACAAAAAAATCATAAACTATAATGACTGAAAAAACTTTTTGAGGTCCCATTAAAGTAAATATGCTGTTCAATCAAAAACCCATTAACTTTTGCAAATGTCTTTATTCCTTAATGTATTTTAGATAATCTTGTGCATCTTCTCTGATTTCAAGTACATTGAAGTGTAATAATGCCCATAAACCTCACGCAGTAGTATTATGAAGCCGGAGTATGATAAAGTTCACTTCTGAAGCTAACTTTTTAAAAACCTGTCCGAATGAATGGTTTTCGCTCTGCTGCTATTTAACCATAAGAGGAGCAGTCTCACTGTTTAAAAATACCACCTTGTAAATGAGCTCTCTGGGCCTGGAGCCCCTCTGAAGTGGGACTCCAGGTAGAGGAGTTTTCTACATTTTCAACCAACACAGGTCGACTGTACATCCCCTTCTTAGAGAGAACTTTTTTAACGTCAAGTCAATGAAAACATTTTTTTCTTAATAGAAATGAATTTAGAAGAGTATAAAATCTTGAGACACGGGACACAGAGTCTTGACACAGTTCTCTGGCCTTCTAAAAATAGGCCTGTCCCCTTCTAAAGGCCTACTCCCACTGCTCTCCTTTCCGTTTGCCCTAAGAAAGTTAAAGATGTTCCAACGTGTCATCTGATCTACCTCATTAGCATACGTGACATCACATGCCTGGGATAAATAAGAGGGGGCTTTGACCATGGCTCAGGACCACTCTGTCTTGGGACTTCAGCTTCTCATCTCCTTTCCTTTCGCTCCTCCAGCTCCTTCTCTCCAAAATGGTGTGTACAAAATTCAGTTTCGGACCTTTTGGGTGGGGCATTACCGATGGAGTTACCTTTTTTCTTTCTTTTTTTTTTTTTTTACCAACCAGGGGCGATTCTTTGTGGCATGGGTTTGGATACTATCTTTCCAAAATAAGCCCAAAATTGGGACTTTATTGACATCACTGCTAGGGAGGAGAAATCGAGACTGGCATTTTTCTATACTGTCTTAATAAATTGTGAAAAAAGTTCACATCTCTGAAGATTTCAAGGCTGAGACTTATTTACTTTGGGCCCAGGACCACTGCCTTGAAATACATCCACATTTCTATCCTAAATGCCTGTGTAGACTTGTATAAAATGATTATAAATTTGCCATCCATCTCATGTATTTAAGTTTTCGTAGCAATAAGTTCTTAGATTGAGCGTTGTTAGGAAATCTTACATACATTGAATTTCTTCTATGTTTTTTCTGTACTCATAAATCATCTGTTTGTTTTTTTTCATTTGTTCATTTCTCTGTGTTCTGTGTGTTAATGTGTTCGTAAATGTACCGTTCTGTGTGTGTGTGTGTGTTTGTGTGTTCGTGTTTATGTGTGTGCGCGTGCGTTTTTTGTGTATTTCTGTGTCACAGACCGAGTTCACACCGGACCAGATTGAGGGTAAGTGAAGACACAGCCAGATTCATCTCCATCCTTTACAAAATAACTTGGCATGTGAAAAGCGGTTGTGAGAATCCTGCTCCCTTGTCATCGCGCAGAGTGACATTTACTCGCGACATTATCAGCAGCAGAGAGTATGTCCTCCAATTTTCCTCCACTGCTCAGTCTGTCAATTTCATAGTGAGGGGGGTTTTTTTTTCAGCAATTGTCACACTGAACAAACTGCCAGAGCAGCTGCAGGGTTGCAGAGTTGAACCTTTAGTCCAAATTACCTGCTAAAATGTGGACGTAGGGATGAAGAAAGTTCCATAGTGAAGACAACCTTAGGGCATGTCACTCCGGGGGACTTGTCCAGTTGTCGAGAAGGATCTGAGATATGTCTATTCTAAGCCGACCTAGCCTTGTCTTGCAAGCCGCGGTGGCCCTTACACAGCAGAGGTGTTAATCCCAAGGCCAAAGTTTAAGATGCAAGCCCCGACGGCATCCTCTTACACAGGGAATCCAAACTGTGACACCCCCCCCCCGACCCTTTTGTTCACTGCTGAAAGACATTTATAAAAATGCTCCATGTTTAGTGGAAGGAATTCGGTGTGGTTCCTGATATTGTCATGACATTTTTATTTCTATTTCGAATATTTTAGTTCCGTTTATCCCCCATTTCAATAGGTCAAAGTAATATTTTTTGTATAGATATTTTTGAATGTTCCTCTAAAAGTAATACAGTGTAAACATTTCTCAATTGCGCACCTTAGAGATTTCCCCAATCAAGTTCATTTGCTTAAACAGACTTTCCATTTGACAATTCTTTCCACCCAAAAAAAGAAAAAGTGATTATTCTGTACATTCTGGAACATTTATACTACATGTCTGGCATTAAGTTTCCAGGTCATGCATGACAAGGTGTTGATTACACCACAGTCAGCATTCTTATGCTTAACCCGAGCAGGGCCATGGGGGGCCATGCCTCTATATGGTCGGGGTTACTCTGTCGGGGTGTATCAGCTTGCTCCCGATGTCGCCTGAAATGCAAGTGGAGGCAGGAATGGAGAAGGGTTGGGGCGCGGGGGGTGGGTGGGTGGGTGGTGGGTGGTACAGCTGTTCCTGCTGCTGCTGTTCAGAAACCACATAAGAGCATTAATCTGTCAAAAAGGTCACTTTGAGTCGACTTCCTGGTAGGATTCATAGAAATAGATAACCTTTGTCCAGGCTCCAGTCGGTACCTTCCTCCTTTCTGCTTGGATACAGCTGTCGCTCCCAATTAGCTGAGAACAATGACGGAAGTATGTGGCTCCCACCGTCTTTGATCCTCCAGCACAGTGTGACACCAGGCAGCTGCCATAGCTGACTAAGTACCCTGTAATAGAAAGAATGGGCAACCCAAAGGGGATGGATCTAATGGACACCAAAAAGAGCATCGCTAGCCCTGATGTCGCACCAGACACATCACATATAATGTTTTTATTGAACAGAAAAGGGATTCTTTTTCATGTCCTACACCCATGACAAATTATTGAACCATTTGCCATCTGACCAAACCATCATCCAAAGTGCCTTATGTTACCATGAGCCCACAGATCTAAGTGTATATAGCACATTAGGCATTAGAAGCGCGATAACTGAGAAGACAGATTCAAAATCATGCTATTTTCTTTGTCTCTTTTTCACTGACTTGTGTTCATACTCAGTAACTCAAACTTCTCTCTTGCCCCTCCTCTCCTGGACAGACTTCAAGGAGGCTTTTGGTCTCTTTGACAGAGTTGGTGACAGCCAGGTGGCCTTCAACCAGGTGGCCGACATCATGCGCGCTCTGGGCCAGAACCCCACTAACAAGGACGTTACCAAGATTCTGGGCAACCCAACTGCCGACGGTAAGATGCAGATCTTTACTATAAAGAATGTGACATTTCTACTCTCAAAAGTTTGCTCCAAGATGAAAGTATGTGCGGTGTGTGATGCACTGTGTGATTTTTAACTCAAACAGACATGGCCAACAAGAGGCTCAACTTCGACGCTTTCCTGCCCATGCTGAAGGAGGTCGACGCCCTCCAGAAGGGTACCTACGACGACTACGTTGAGGGTCTGCGCGTCTTCGACAAGGAGGGCAACGGCACAGTCATGGGCGCTGAGCTGCGTATCGTGCTGTCCACCCTGGGTGAGTCTCAAGTCACATACCCCCCCCACCCCCCCAAATATAGACGCACACAAATATAGTTTGCTTAGCACGAACAGTATGTGAGCATGTGTGTGAAATGGAGAGTGTGGCCCCTGACACGCAACCTTGTGCAACTCCAGGAGAGAAGATGAGCGAGCCTGAGATTGATGCCCTCATGACCGGCCAGGAGGACGAGAACGGCAGTGTGCACTATGAGGGTAAGCTTCCATTTCCCAGCATGCCTTCTCTTTTTGTTTTTGACTTTTTATGAATATATATGATGCTAAAGATTTGGACATGTGGTTTTGTCTTCCTCCAGCTTTCGTCAAGCACATCATGTCTGTGTAAGAGGCTAGCAGTATGAGTGCTGAACAGCCCAGCAGTGTTCAGGACATCTACACTGTTTTAAAGACCAACCAAGGAAAGACAAGGACTATGTACAAGGGATGTTGAAGCAAACCCATCTTGTTGTTTATTTTGTTTTCCTTTACACTTCGTCTCAAACCCTCCTCTCTCGGGACATCACCGTCTCTCCGTTGTAGACCCCCATCACTTGGCCTCTACTCCCCCCCCGGGGCGCGTCTCCACTCTCCGCATGGGGTGAGGAACGGGGGAGAAGGGGTGACCGCTCATCAAGTGAGGGTAGATCCCTCCCTTCCCACCGCCACCTCATTCAGTCACGCCACCACTGGCCCAGCAATGCCAAAGGTGCTGGAGAATGGTCGTGGATTGACCGCCAAAAGTCTCCCGCTTCCCTGAAAAGTTTTATTTATTTTCACTCTGTTCATTTCAGAATAAACTTTTCCAACGTACATCCCACCTGGGTTGATTCTTGATCTTTCATTGACCACATATACTTGCAGATACGCTGGAGTGTACGGCAACAATATAAGATTGATTTTTAAAAGCATGCTCATGTAACTTTTGAAAGATGAAATAGCACATTCAGCCTCTTACAAATGAAAAGTTGAATTCATAAACACTAAATCCCATCAAATACAATCAGAGATTTTACTACCACAGCCTTACTTGGTCTAGTATGAACAGTAGCTTTTAGTGGCTAATGTTTGCTAATATATATATAAATTTTATATTTCTGCATTACAGACTCAAACCAACTGGTATTGTTACATTGCATTTAAGTATTTTTCATTTCATTATTCCATAATAGATAAATAGATAGATAGATAGATAGATAGATACTTTATTTATCCCCTAGGGGAAATTCATGAATAAATTATAATTGCAACTTGTAGCCAAGGTGTCTGCTCTTATGCAAACTTGCATAGGGTAGCTTTAAAGTACGAAACTGAAATATCCTGTTAAACATGGACATTATAAATCAACACAAAGAAAAATAAAAATAATGAAATGGTAACTCTTACTTTTGCGTTTAATGATTCCATTAGCACTAATTTAAATCTGATTTGCTATCTTTAAGGTTTGTTTTAAATCTGGATGTATATTTTTGCCTCTTATTCGACTGTGATATCACTTTAATTTACCAATGCTCTTGCAGAGTAAATCTAGCAGCCTACAGAGCCAAACACAAGACCTTGGGGCAGGCAGGGTCAGTGTTGGAGGTTGGAAGAGCCTGCCCCCTTGTGCTGTGCCGAGGGTAAAGTGCACACACTTTCATTATTCAGCACATTTAATAACAACAGCCAAGGTTTTGTGTTTAAATTATTTTTGGACACCACATCTATTGTGACATCAATACATATAAAAGGTACTGAAAGGTGAAACATTTTAAAATGATTTTTTTTTTCATTCCATTAAATTTAACATATTAGATCTGTGCATCTGCTAAAATAACAGGAAATGGGATGTAAACCTCAAGACCTCTTATTTAGCATCAATAAAACATTTATTAGTATTATTATTATCATTATTTCTGCACCAAATGTATTATTGTTTATTTTTATATGCCAATGTATTATGTCTAATGTGTCTTGTTAATAATTATTAGTAACTTGGAATAACAATTATGCAGCTGTGTACATGCTATCATGCTATAGCCTATAGCTTTTTCCATATATACGCCTATAGACATTTGTTTACAACTTTATTCCTGCCAATGAACGGCCGATTTGAACCAGAGTGCTCTGCAGAATTGAGTAGTAGAAGAAGAAATCCCTGAACGAGAGAACGATGAAGCAAGAGCTCTCACTCTGCTGCTTTTTTCATGGGCAAAACTTTCTCAACCCCAGAAAGCAAAAAGTCCTTTAAGTGCATGCGTATAACTTCCTTTAGAGTCACATTTTAACTAAATTGCACACAAACGAAGAACAGTGTTGACAAACAGAAGTGAAAACAACACGTATTCACTTTGCTACGCAGGGTTAAAGGGAGCAAACGATCCGCTACGAAGTGATGCGTCCTTGTCTTTAGACGATCTTTGTCCTGGTTGCTATAGCTGTTCGTCGTGTCAGTTTGTTGGGCTTTTGCGAAGATGTCAGTTACAACAATGATCAAAACTCGTCTTCTGGGGCTGAGAAATGTCTTCGGACGAGGACAGATGCTGTCTGCGGCTGCTGCGAGGTCAATGAAGCCTAAATTATTTTAATGTTTGACCTTTTGAAGTGTGTGTTCTTGTGAAATGGAAACATATCTGCCACCAACAGCTACGACAAATATCTGTATCGTTACGAATTGTTTGATTACTTTGGTTTTATTTTATGTGATAGTTGTAGTTGTATTTTTACAATGCACTTTGAAAGTACTGTCTGTTTTCGACTGTGTAAGTGTTAGTGGGTCGCAACCCGCAACGACCTTTGACACACTTTCTTTATTAAGATAAGTAACGTCAAAGATCCTCTGCTGTCTCTGGCAATTTAAGTAGCAATAATTCATATGCAATGTCAGTATAAACTAATTCATGTAAAGTTGAGAGGATCAGTCCAATGATCGATTTGTCAGTTGACAGGAGAATAATTGCAACTATTATTGATTTTGTCTTTATTGATAATAAACTGTATATCTTTGGTTTTGTAATATCTGATGGCATTACATTCTGGCCTCAAGAAATTATAATTATTTTAACATTTCATGGACTTAAGTATTAATCTTTTTTAGTAATTGTTTGTGTATCTCTGTAATTCCTCCCAGACTACAGCACAGCCAGGCCGGGGAGCTCGGGCAGTCTGTCCTGTCAAACCGTCCAGAGACCTCCAGCGCCAAGACCCTGATGGACATCGGGACTCGTCGGATCTTCAACGAGGACCATGATCTCTTCAGACAAAACGTCCGGCGCTTCTTCCAAGAGGAGGTGGTTCCACATCACAAGGAGTAGGTGTAAGCATGGATGGATTACCGAAGGGGCCAGAGCCTGTGTTTGAAATCACAATTGACATTGCTTGTTGCCAAGTCGATCAGACGGCTTCAAAGAGACACAAAACCACTACAAAGAGACTCCAAACTACCACAGAGCGATGTTAAACAACCACCAATTGATGCAAAACAACTGTAAATAGATGTAAAATGGCCTCAGTGAGACTCAGTTGACAACAAAGATATTTAAACTAACTGCAATGAGATGTAAAATGACCACAAGTGGATGCAAAACATCCACAAATAGATGTAAAATAACAATGAAGAAAAAGATTCAAAATGAATTCACTTTCCCTGCCTCACGACAATCCCTTTTTCTTTTTTTCTTTTTTTTTTTTGTTCCAGGTGGGAGAAGGCAGGTCAGGTAAGCCGGGAGGTGTGGGAGAAGGCTGGTGAGCAAGGCCTGCTGGGAGTAATGATACCAGAGGAGCACGGTGGCATCGGAGGAGATCTGTGTTCTGCGGCTGTCACGTGGGAGGAGCAGTGAGTTGTCCTTAAAATCAGAAACGCAGTTAATCATATCGGAGATCAAACTCTGGCTAATTCTTTTCTGTCCCTGCAGAATGTACTCCAACTGCTCAGGTCCGGGTTTCGCCCTGCACTCCGACATTGTCATGCCCTACATCGTCAACTATGGTAGCAAAGGGCAGATTGAACACTTCATCCCCAACATGACTGCTGGGAAATGCATCGGTGCTATTGCTATGACCGAGCCAGGAGCAGGCAGGTCAGGGCTCAGGCGTCGATTTAACTTCGAAGAAATCAGCATTCATTTGCACTAATGTGGCACAGTGTCGATCATGCGTCCCCTTTATTTTTTCTCAGCGATCTTCAAGGTGTGAGGACGTACGCCAAGAGGGACGGCAGCGACTGGATCCTCAACGGCAACAAGGTACTGAATCCGAACAGCGAAACCAGTCATTTTCATTGCAGCTCGGCTTGAATTCTCTCTTCTGTCTCACGTCTTCAGGTGTTTATCACAAACGGTTGGATGGCTGACGTGGTGGTGGTAGTGACCGTGACCGACCGCGAGGCGAAGACAGCAGCACATGGCATCAGTCTGTTCCTGGTGGAGGAGGGCATGAAGGGCTTCCAGAAAGGACGCAAGCTGGAGAAGATTGGCCTGAAGGCCCAGGTGCTGGTGCTCAGTGGCCCGGGAAAACAGTGTTTCCATCAGTCATCTACCATCCTGCTAGAGGTCATGCAAGGTCAGGACACTAAATCTTTTTCTCCCTACTGTTTCTTCTTCTTTTTTCAAAGGACACAGCTGAGCTGTTTTTTGAGGATGTGCGGCTCCCAGCTGACGCCCTTTTGGGTGAACTCAACAAGGGTTTCTACTACCTGATGAAGGAACTGCCTCAGGTGAGTTTGCCGTTTAATTTACTAACCTTTCCCTGCATTCATTTCTTTCAAAAGTTTAGTTTGATGTCGAGACTTCCACGCAAGTCACTCTGCCATTTGAGTGCTTTTTACTGTTTCGGTTCAGTGGGTTAATGGTAAATCCTGTCATCGTCTTTTGGAATAGGAGCGTCTGCTGATTGCCGACATGGCCATCGCGAGCTGTGAGTTCATGTTTGAGGAAACCAGGAACTACGTGTTGCAGAGGAAGGCTTTCGGCAAGACGATCGCTCACCTACAGGTCTGTGGCACAAGTGTTTTCTTTGTTCTCGAGCTTGTGTAATTTACTGTTTTCGCACTGTCCGGCGGCCGACAGTTTCGTTGCCTAGCTGTTAATGTTTAATATGTTCGCACTGGCTTTTGAATCAGAATTTCTCTCTAGGAGAATAAATATCATTACAACTAATTTTGACTCCACAGACTGTTCAGCACAAGCTGGCAGAGCTGAAAACTGATATCTGTGTGGGCCGAGCCTTTGTTGACAACTGCCTACAGCTCCACGCTCAGAAACGCCTGGATCCCTCCACGGCCTCCATGGCCAAGTTTTGGTGAGAACGTGTTTTCGTATTTCTAACCAACTTCTCAAACATAGGACGTGTTGCTGTTGTGTGTGCTAATGTTCCTTGTCCTTTGTCCGTTTTTCCAGGGCGTCTGACCTCCAGAACAGAGTGGCCACTCAGTGCCTGCAGCTCCATGGAGGCTGGGGCTACATGTGGGAATACCCCATCGCAAAGTAAGAGTCACATAACCGTGTTTTTTTTTTTTTGTATTCCAGTCAATCAACAATTTGCTAAACTTGTGTCTCTGTCTTTCCAGGGCGTTTGTGGACTCCCGTATCCAGCCCATCTATGGGGGCACCAATGAGATCATGAAAGAGCTCATCGCCCGCACCATTGTCAGCCAGAAGTGAGAAATTGTAGACGTTTTCTGGTGGAGGAGCACTGGGGGAAAGCGGGGGTGGTTTGCACAGATGTGTGTTTTTTTCATGAGCAGCCGTAAAAAAAAAAAAAAGGTATCGCTGAATGTAATGTAATCATGCTTGAAGTAATACCTTCTTCCTCTTACAAATGAAAAGTTACATTTCAGGGCAGTAAAATGCGCTTCAACTAAATTCAATACATTCAGGGGTTTTGCAGCTACAGATGTGCCTGGTCTGGTATGACCACTAGCTTAATGTGGCTAGCGTTAACTAATTTTACCACACTTTCAATGGATATTGCTATATATAAATCTTTTTTCCTGTCACTTGGTGAACACAGAAACAAGTTGCGAACACAACGTTGAAATATCATCACCCTCGAAGTTAAACCTGTTAGCAAACGGTTGCTTGATTCACACATGCAGTACGTGTTTCTGCCCACCTGATAAATGGGAGTTGAATATTCCCTCTCTTTTCCCTACCAACCCCTAAGAAAAATATGTGGCTCTTAAGCTGCTAAATGCTCCGCTATGATCACCAACTAGTTGCAAACTCGTGATCGTTTGATTCTGAGCAGGTCGGTAGAGGTACCGTCAGATTTTTATTTAGCACTTTAGCCCTTGAACAATAAGATGAAACTTGTTCCTTAAAGTTCCTCAAAGTTCCTCAAAGCTGAGGGAAGCTGCAGATTCAGGTGATAGTTCTCTGTATGTCCACTACAAGAGACCCTTTTTCAATTTCACACTGTCTTTTAATTCATTTTTATAATGTATAAATCCTTTATAGCAAATTTAAGGTCGGAAAATTTTGAAAAATGACGAGAATGTCCGGGCTGTCTTTTCTTTATCGGTGATGCAGCAGCTTGATGGAGCGAGCACTAATGGCTCAACCATTTCTCAACAAAAGGCTTCATTAACCTTTATCGTGTGTGTGAATGTGAGTTACGTTTAAACAACTTTGCTAAAATTATGACTTATTTTTACGTCTGTTTCTGCCCACTTACTGTAGTTATAGTTGTACATATTTTACATTGAAAAAAATATTGTATTCCAGCTAAAACGAACTGAAAAATATTTTTGTAAACGAACCCGTCCTATGAGTTGCTTGTGTGTTCAGGATGTAGTGACTGAAGAGATTATCGCTGATGGATTTCTCATCTTCTTGCCTTTTTGTCAACACTGAAAGTGTCTTCACACTGTGACTGTTCATTTAATGAAATAAACTTGCAGTATGTTTTCCTGGCCAATGACGTTCAGAACTGAAAGAAATTAAAATGAGATGAAGTTCCATCTCTCATTGAACTTCATGTTTGCTTTGCACCTCTTCGCTTGTCCGTTTCTGGGTCTGAACTGGCATTAGAGTCAACGTCCGGACTGGGTGAAGGTGTGAACTGAGTTGAGGCCTGTGACTGACAGGGGCAGGGGTTGAAATGTTCGAACAAAGGCCTGTTCGGGGGCGACAGAAATTCTTTTAGAAAACAGCATCAGCATCACCTTCTGCATTGTGTTATTTCCACCAGTAGATGGCAGTAAACGTTTGCACGGAGCCGGCGGAAGAATGACAGATGACCGGGCTTCCATTTGATTCCATTGCAGCACATGCAGCAGGCAGAAGCAGACTGTTGAATGTGATTAGATGATTTAAAGCATCTTAACAAAGTTTCAACCTTGTTTTCTATTCATTTACTGTACACGCCTGTTTTTTTTTCTTTTTTTTTTTCTTTGATTGACATATTCAGGCATCAGTCTCTCTACGCTTTATAGATTTAAATGGCACAGCTATACAGAATCAATATTGTTTATCTTTAATGTACTATTTTCATCCATTGCGCAGCCATGTATTTGCATCCTTTTGCATCTGCTGCATGTGGCTGTAAATGTGCTGCATAAGAGTCCCTCAAAAAAAAAAAAAACCCACATCAGTGCCAGTTGAAGAAGCAGACAGCAGACAGCCCCCCCCCACCACCACCACCCCCACCACCACACTTCACCTGGGGGGAAAGAAGTGCAGCTACTCTTCACTGCTGCATCTACCCTTACCTTCCCTTTGCTCCTGTCTTCTCCTATACTTCTCCCCCTTTTCCTCTGTCTTTCCCATTTTCTTCCTCTCCCTGCCCCTCCTTCCCGCTCTCCCCTTGGCATCAAGTCGACTTTATCCCCCTGCCCTCTCCTACCCCTCTCTCCTCTTCCTCCCTTCTCCATCTTTTCCTCAGCAACAGCCACACCCCGGTGCCTCAGCTCTGCACTCACTTCCACTGCTGACACAGTGCTTCCCCCTTTCAGCACAGCGGCCAACTGTGGTGTTGGGATGCAGAGGCCCTTTCACACCTGGTGTGTGACTTTGCATCGGTGCAAATCACCGTGTGTTTCGTGCACGCAGTTGTTGCATATATGTACACAAAGGATGCTGCACAAATGTTCCTATAATCACAATGAGGGATTGCCTGGCATGCGTGTTGCAGCCACACAATCCGGTTGCGCCTACACTGCTGCATTTACGGTAGCTCAATTTGCGATGGGAGGGATCAGAGGGCCCCATACCGCTTTCATTGTCACTACAGCTCTCCTCACTCACAAGGGTATCAGTGCCGCTCAGCAGCCTAAACCTCCAGGTAAGAGCTGAACCACTTTGTTTATCATCCACGGGGGAGACTTGGCCTTATCATCGCTCTGATCAGCATAAATGTATTGTTTCAGTCATTTTAATGCAGCAGCGGCATCTGTAAAAGTTTCTATAAAAAGTCAGTGTGTGCATTGGTGTTGGCTTTGCTGTCCACTAATCCTCAGCTGCTGTGTGTAAGCGCGTTATGGTGTGATGTGGAGTTATGTGTTTGGATTTGAAGATGTGAACCACGGGTCTGATGTTGTCAAATCTCGGCGGGGCCTTTGTAGCTTAACGTCGCTTGTCAGTGTGTGTGGATGTGGGATAAAAAAAATTAAAAAAAAAAATCTGTGTCTGCGCGTGCGGAAGAACATTTTAAATTGTGCTCTAATTGCGGTGTTTGTCGCTGTCTTGCGGCGCACTGGTGCGCCTGTCTCTGCTGCTGCAGCCTGCGCCTTTTGTTCTGGTCCACGCCTGCATGGTGCTGAAACCGGCGCGGCTCCCCAGCCGTCCACTGCAGCACGGCGCACTCACCTATGGAGAAAAGGCAGTGAATTTCATGAATGTAAATGCAGATTATTATAATTATGATCACCTCAGTGCATATGTTTTCTGGCTAATGTCTTGCCCATTCATGCATTGTGGATAGGGGAGTAGCCCAGCTTGTACTTGGCATCACCCAGTTGCCCTTGCAGACATTACCACCATGCATCAGCAAAAGGTAGCAAGGCTTCAAGAACACCTTCATTTTTAATATCATTCATTTATTAAGTGTAATTGGGTTAAATTGATCAGAATAATTCTCTTATGGCAGCTGGAAGCCACCAAATAACCAAACCCTGATTCTCCCCATCTGGTGGCTATAATGGAAGTCCTGTCATGATGGGTTTTAATGTCATTTTATATATATATATCCAACCATAGATAATGATCTGGAAATGTCCAGACTTCCATTAAGCATGGGCCTATTCCAAACCTGCTTCCTCTCAGTGTCACCTCAGCCTCCACATTCTGAGGAGAAACAGGAACTGTAGATTCCCTCATGTCTGGATGTGAAAACATGCCTTTATGAAAAGGAATTAACGCTCACATGAAACTGCACTCCAGTTTTTCATATTTGCACATTCCAGTCGCTGGATCGTAAGACCCCAGCTATGGATAAGGAATGTAATGAAAATAACATCCTCACATGCTGATGATGTTGGATTTTGAGGGTAATCTCAGCCAACATGGAGGTTTTTTTTTTTTTACCTTTACATCTTCATGTCTGTGCTCCTGCAGCTCCCTTTAGCTTTAGTAACCTGAGACTAAGGTTCGTTATGTGTAATATGTTATGTTTGCTTGTTCAGTCAGCCTTAAAATACTATAATTGTACAGGAATTGGTTCCTGCTGGCAGGGTGTGTTATATATAACACACATTTTATCAGTATTTTTCCTATAGACTTTGGAACTACATGTAAACAGTCCCCGTTCAGTGTGATGCTGACTTTTATTAATTCAAGGCGAACTGTACCAGCACTTTGCACATGATCGGTGTCAATTAGCCTCACATACAATGCAAAGAATGGACTAGATAGTTATACATGATATATATAACCACACATACAGTATGTATGTATAATTCATATATAATTGAGTGTGGCTTCCCAGTAAGGTACAATCAGGAAACTTCTTGGGAGTCCAAATGGAGGTTGGCAAAGTGCATTAGGAGAACATGTCGAGATTGTATCATGTTTCACCTAATTCTCCTGAAAGGACAAGCCTCCATCAGGCCAGATTGGGCTGAGTCTAATCACTGGTGGGGTAATTGAAATGACCTTAATAACAACACAACAGGTTGTGTTCGTGTCTGCGCTTTTAGTTGCATAAGCTATGAAAGTAAGACTTATTTAAATCTCAAATGTAACTGTGTGTGTGTGTGTGTGTGTGCGTGCGTGCGTGCGTGTGTGTGTGTGCGCGCTATACATTTAGCCACGTCTTTGCTTGTCCAACCACCAGGAAACCCAATCCACCTCCCTGCACCACGCGGGAACGTTAAGTATATTTACCAACGTCAGATCTGGTTAGGTGCACCGTCAAAGTCCCAAGACCACAGAACCACTCCGCGCTCCACTGAAATTAAGACACGCCATCTTGGCCGGTGCTTCCTCATGGGAAGGGATTGTATTGGAACAATGTTTGGAGTAAAGATCAGTGTCTGGATTTGTTTGTGGATTGAGGTGAGCTGGTTTGACTTAAGGAGAGCGTTTTGTTTACTGCATGCCATGATTGGTTTTGGAAGTATTTAAATGATGATGTGGACCTCCTTAGTGGGTGTTTGGGTGCTGTCTGGTTTAATGTCAGTAAAGTAGGTGAACCCAGAGCTTTCTGGCACCACCGTCACAGGTGTCGGAGGACTCAGGATGCGCCTTTGGCCCCTGCTGCTCCTCCCGTCTGAGGCCTTTTGCGCTACAGGTGTCTAATGGGAACTGGCAGAACTGTGCTTTTGTACGTGATTAAGTCCTGACTGTGAGAGGGACCTAATCTAATTCACATACGTCAGAGGAACCGTACGGCCTGCTGACCTGCATAAGGTGCAGACGCACACATCTACACTTTCTCAAACACACACCCTCCTTCTTGAGTGCTGAGTAGGATGAACAAATGTGTTGATGATCTGTCATTCTTGATGGTCTTGTGCTGCCATCATATAGACACCAACATCTAACAGGGTGAATTAAGTTACACACTCACCTGATGCTCTTCTCTAGACCTGCAATGATTAATCAATTAGTCAATTAGGAGGTTGAAAGAATAATATATAAATTGAGTATTATTTGATTTTGGGTGGTCGGTCACACAAAATAAGTCATTTGGTGACAACATTGGATGGTGTGTTGGGCATTTTTCACAGTTTTTTTTGATGTTTCATTGGCCAAACAACTCAGTAACTGGCGAATTAATTGATGATGAAAAGGTCGGCGAGTTGTGAATGTCTCGCTCAAGGCCTCTTTGGAAGAAAACATGGACATTCAAGCTTTCTCCGTGCGCATGTTCTGAAGCCCATCCCCTCTCGTTGCATGTTTGGAGTAACATCTAACAGCTGGTGTTTAATATGAAAGCAGGAGACCATACTGTACGCGGGATGTGTGGACACTGGGTGATAGACATGTTAGGGAAAAGCCCTACCACTTGTTGTAATGCATCACATTCAAGCAGCATGAGCAGTATCCCTTCCAGATGTAGTTGAAACAGCTGTTAAATGAAGCCCTGTGTGTTTTTAATTGAGCGTGAGATGTCGAGCACAACACCGACCGACGTTTGCGGGATTCATTGTTTCTGTGTGGAACTTTTCTTGTTGAGGACGCAAGTTTTAAGTTTGATAAAAGCCTGTTCTCATGGCACTGAGATCCATCCTGCGGCCTCCGCGGTGCAGGACAGTCTCCCTAACCATTCATCCACCCTGCCTGTCCTTGTACCAGGGCTCCGTCTACGGTTGACTTGCAGTCAGTCTCTCAAACAAGCCCTGACAGCCAGTGTCGCATTTCATTCCTCACGGACGATGCCTCTCGACAGAGAGGACACTCATGCAGGGCATTCTTACACTCAAACTCCCTCAGATATTGGCATCTATAATACTTTCTGCGGCTCCCGCTTCTGATTTTTTTTTTTGTGTTGTAACCGTGTTAGCTAATCCATGAGGTCATCACGCTGATGGCAGCTTGTACATGAGAGGCTGGAGAAGGAGCAGGAGTGTGTAGGAAAGAAGTTTATTTCTGAGAGACAAAGAACACAACCCGCCTACCACAGCGGCTCAGTTTGTACAGGTTAACTTGGCTCCAGCGCAGCGGCTCCACTCCATGTTGATCCATGCGCCTCTGACTTCTTTCCCTCCTCTGGAAAGCTTTCTTTATATAGATCAGTTTTTGTGGACAAGTGCCCAGCAATGCATTCCACGCAAAAAAAAAAAAACGTGCTGTACGTTCACACGCAGCTATTACAGGAAGTTTATGTGTCTCTGTCTTAGCGGTGTTATGATATATAGTCCAGCTTGAACTTACTGTTTGAGGTTTCACACCCCTAATTGGCGCTGAAGAATGCAGGCAACTGGGCTGTTGACACATCCTGGATAATGTTATGTATGTTGCCAGCTTGTTCCTGCAACTGTTTCAATGTCAGCAAAGCACCAAAGCTTGGCAGGATTTGAAGGAAATTTCAATTAAATGCAAAATGCAAAAAAAAAAGTACAATACAATTGTACAGAGTGACTGCTGTTTCCTCACATCTTTAACCAATCTCATGTTCAATTTTCTCTCCATGAAGCGTGAGTTCTTGAAAATGCATGAGGGGAAAAATGAAATTCTGCCACTCACTGTGCAATTTTTTTTTTTTATATTTTACTTGTCCATCAAAGCCAGAGCTATTTTAAAACTTAATAGCAGCCTGAATGATGCACTAGAAGCTGCAGTCGTTACATGTGAGGCTACTGGTCTCATTTTTTCGGACTCTGACCCGGGCCAATGGTGGGAAGAAACCGCTAATGAGCCTTAGCTGCTTCCTGAATATGCCGGGGACCTCCTGTTAGCCTAGTGTAGTGGCTAAGCTACGTAGCGCTGAGCCTTTATGATTTCCAGATGCTCAAGCTAAACAGCGAGATTGTTTTCTCCCCATCCTTTTTGCAAACAGCGGACTGGCAAGCGGTTGGAGGCTAATACATCGAGCGAAGTGTTCTGGAGGAATGAATGAGCCTCATTGTTGAAGACCATGTATTGTTAGAACATGCAGACTCTAGATCAGGTTTCTCTATGCTGTTATGAACAATTTTTTTTTCTCAATTGCATCTCAGTGTGAGTGTGTTTTTCAGCTGATCCATTAAGGGGGAAAAAGGTTGGAATGTATTGTCATGGAAATAAGTCTCAAAGGATTCAGTGTAAATTGCTTCTCAGGGCCTGGAGCTTCCTAAGCTAAACCAGAGCATCTCTTAACTGTGTTAGTGCACGCATGTTTCTGTGCACATGTGGATGCTTGTA